CTCTTGGAGATGAAGTAGCAAAGACTTGGTAGTTAGGACCACTGAGGCAAGCAATCGGATTCAATCTGTAGTCCAGATTATAATTTAGCGAACAGTTGAAGAAGCTGAAATCTTTATAGTAGACGCTCCTGAATGGTGAATCAGAAAGATTAAGCGACAGAATCCGTCCTGGAAGGCAATTGTTTGGATCATTGATCCAGATTTCTCGTGCACCATAGTCTATAGTCTGGACACTGAACTTTCCTGCAGGAGGCAGCTCTAGTATTGTCTGTCCGGAATCATCACATGACAAACGGAAACCCGGATAGCCACAAGACATGGGCTGATGGGTTTCTATCCAAAAAGGGAACCGGATCACTGGCTCTCCATGGCGGCAGGTGGCGGTTCTACACGTATCTGTGGTGGTTGCAACATGCAAGAAGCAGAGAAGGAGGGAAAAGAAGATGACTTTGAGAAAGTACATTTTCTTTTGGGGTGGACAAGGGTTGATAGGCAAGACAACTATACTCACAGCTATTGATTTTATGAATGCAAAGTCCATGGTAAAACCCCAAAAAAATGCTGACAGACTCCACTTGTGGAACAAGTCAAACTACCAACCTAAATGCTTAGAAAAAGAGAAATAATAAAAACAACAATACTTCTTCAATGGAAAAGATCAGAGTTTCATTACACAACGACTCAAAAAGTAGAAAATGTATAATTCATAACTTCACATTAAGGAAAACAAATCAAAGAGAGTACCCATTATTGATTGAGAATAGATGATAAATTGGGTAAAAATTTTAGAAGTCAGAGCAGCGACCGTTGCGTTCCCAATCGCCGTAGCGAGTAGGCTCGGGACCTCTAGGGCCACCGACCTCACCGGTCTCTTTATTCACATGATCGTCATCATCTTCATCTCCGTTCTCTTCGTCTACCTTGTCCTCGATTTCAAGATTCTCCTTCTCTGTTGTTTCTATCTTTTCTCCCGTGACGGCGGATTGACGGTTGATCTGAGGTTGCTGGTTTGTGGAACAGAGGAGGCGAGTTGCCGAGTAGGGAGCGAGATCGGATCTGGAACAGGTGGAGGTTAGTTTCGGAGTGGAAATCTCGGAAATTGAAGAGAATAGGCGGGAAAAGCTGGATCTCGCCATTGTTTTGAGCTCTGCGAATAATGGAAACCCTAATTTATTTTTGTTGATTTTGATTCTTCAGCGAAACAGCAGAAACAGAGGAAGAAAGCAAAAGACGAGCTGGATTGTGGAACGGCGTCGTAGAGTACAGAAGACTGAAGTTGGCATGCGTTGAGTGCTCGATAGGGCAGAATTACCGTACAGACTGAATCAAGACATAAAGGACATTTTCTTTTTTAAATATTTATTATTAGAGTCACCCAACTAAATCTTGAGTTTAAAGGTTAAAATAAATAGAGTTATGGAAAATCAAGGTGGATCGACGTTGAGGATGTCTATTCAGTGTTGGTTTCGTGGGTTTCAACTCGGTATTCACTTATTCACTTATTTAATTGTTGTGATGAACGTTTTAATATTAAAATATTTTGATTTTTACATTTTTTATAATATATAACAAAATTTTATTAAAAATATTTAAGTAATTTATTTAAAAACTTAACATATTAAATATCAAGTGGTATTAATTTTTTATTTTTTATTTTTGGTACCAACCTCTAGCACTTGTTTTTTTTTTCTTTAATAAAATTTAAATTTAAAATTTTTTAAAAAATAAATCAAATTCTTTTAACTTAAATTAGCAGGTGTTGTTACTTTTAATTTTTTATATATAACTATTAAGTATTTTCATC